TGTTTGGCAGTGAGGTTGTTTGCACTTTGGTGTTGGTTCAATCCAAAATCCTACATACCACAGCCTGGGTGCTCCTAACACAGTGTCCATTGAGAGCTGTCTTTCTAGGACATCTTTTCCCGCCACTTATTCTAGATACCTATAATCCGATGTTTACAACCCTGCTGATGCAATCCATGACTTACCTGGTCTCACTCCAGCCAACACAGGGAGGGGATGATGGGTGAATGGCATGCGAGAAGAACTGGTCTGGCAATACTCGAGCTTGCCTGACTTCTTAAGAGACCCGGGTCCTTGAAAGAAACAGAAACATAGGTCAGCGAGGTGATGAGAGCAGAGTATGCCAGCTGGGTCAATCAAAGCAAAACATCCAAATTATACACATTTCATTTGCATCCTCAGGGGCCGGATAACATTTTTCAAACAGGGAAGCACTGTTTGAAAAAATGGCTTGAAAGCTGATCTCTGGGCAGATACAAAAAAAAGAAATGAAATAACTCTGCATAGATACATATACAGTACATAGGTCTGCATGGATAAACCTATAGAGATGTAAAAAATCCGGTCTATGCAGAGCAGATAGACAATTCAGGTGTGGAAATGATACTCGAGGAACCAGATCTATGTTTTCACAGAAATGTCCTGCGTCCTGAGCAAACAAAAAAATCACTAGCTGCAAATTTCTTACCTGTGTCCACATCATTCGGCCAACCGCTGGCCTGGCTGCCCCCAGCTGCAGGTGATCGGCCCGTACCCGGGTAGAAGACGTCATCCACTGGGCTCTCTAATTCACTGTCATCCAAAGACTTGGGGCGCTTTGTCGAGCTGAATGACAGACATGAACAGAGAGGCATGGGCATGTGTCATCATATACACACACATATATACTGTATATAAATAAATATTAGGGATGCACCCATACCGATACTAGTATCGGTATCGGTGCCGATACCAAGTATTTGAGTGAGTACTCATAGTCGGCCAAATGCTCCCGATACCAAAACTTCTGGTATCAGGAAGCCGGGCTGTGAGTCATTACATGCTGCCTGGCTTCCTGATCGGCCAGGAAGCCGGCTATCCCCCCCTAACTAGCCAGAAAGCCGGCTCCATGCTTTCTCATCAACAGGTTGCACCTGGTGAGGCATCCTGGGAGAACTGTCAAATTTGTGACGCTTCCTATTTGGGACACTTCCTATTTTGTTTCTCCCCTCATCGGCTTTTTCCCTGGAAGGATGTCACCATACAAAGATCTGTCTCTCTGTCCAGGTCTTGGGGCTAGGGGTGGAAAGGATGCAAGGATCTCCTCTCCTGGGAGGGGTATTCCTGAAGATGCTGGAGACAAGAGTGTCTGGCCTAGAGGAAACAAATGGTGAATGTCCTCCACAATGGAAATGTGAGTGACTGGTTGAGTGGAACGTATACACAGGAGCATTTCCATGTTGTCCTGCCTTGGAACATAATGATAATACTTGAACCTCAGTTGTGAAGGAGCCATAGTTCTGCAAAAGTACAGCCAGCATCGGCTGTGTTAATGTACAAACAGACTCTGTGATAGACATTTTTAAGAGATTCAGGCCCAGCCTGAAGTATGAGATCAACTTTGTTTTGGTCATATCCCGATTCCACTAAAGTGAATGGCGCCCATCCTTTTTGCACCCTGAGAAAAGAACTAGACCTGACCACTTGTACTGATATACCTGAGCCTGAATGTGCCTGGGATCTTATTGCCATGTAAAAGTACTCAGGACATTCGTAAAGTTGCTATTGGTCAGATAAAGATCAGTAATTGCTGAGGATCTTAGTGCTACACTACAATGCCTTGGCTGGTGTATATGCTATAGACACAGGAATTAGGTATACTACTTTTAAAGTTTAGGACTATAGGCAGGGTCAGCTTTAGAGCAGAGTAAGCCAAGCTAGGCCTGCTTGCCTAACTTGGCCTAACTAGACCTAACTTGAGGGGTCTCCTCGATGTGGGCACACATGCCCAGTGATCATGTAAGGTGCCGACTTCTGGGTGCACTGTCACTCCTGTTCCTGCATCTTTACAGGCAGATGGCATAGGCCGGCACAATCACCCCTTGTCCGAAGTTAGGAACCCTAAGGTGTCTTACTAATAATGTCATCCAAGGAAAGCACCTAACAACATTATGCTTCATGCTTCATAAGCTGTACAGAAGGGAAATCTTTAACAATGGTAATGAATTCTTTAGTTTGGCAATGGTTCGTTGGTTTCTCTTACCTGCTGGATGGAGGAGACGTTAAGGACCGCCGACCAAGTGTCACCTGGTTTATATTGTAATAGCTCGGGCTCTCCAGATCAGCCAATGAGAAGTTAGGGCCAGATGCTGTTGCAACAGGCGCTAAAAAACACAAAAGCATGTATCAAATGAGGCTTGGGTTAATTGTGCACAGTAAGGAGCTGCACTATTTTTGAAATGGAAAGATTTGAAGTTGAATGCCCCATGGCAGTGCAGTACTAGCTAAAATAACATTAAGGCCTATAGCCTGATATTCAGCATCCTTTCACATTAACATAAGGTGGGCCTCCAGCTAGAAATCCTCTGTTAGTTTTTAGTGCTATCGATGACCCTATTGGGGAGCTCTTTCCCTTCCATTTCAGTGTTGTCACCAGGATAGGAAGTGAGAACAATTAGGAAAATTATCTTTGGAGTTCCACTTAATTCATCGTTTGATGAAGCCTTTAAAAGTAAAATCTGGGTGCACCTCTGCTAACTACACCTTAGATTCAAGATATAATTCCTGAGTTTCTTAAAAGACTACTTGATGCGGATCAGAGACTTCATCTATACAGATATAAAAGGTAAACTGTCCAGTGACAATTCACTGCAATAAATGGATTAATGGCAGACATATCGGAGGTGCTGTTCCTTTTATTAAATATGGGGTTCATAACAGCCTGGCAGTGGTAGCTTCCATAATTCATCAATGGCAGGTTTATTTTAAGTATGTGCAGTGCAGAAAGATGCCAGTCCCTCAGCGTTGACTCTTTCTAGTCTCCACGGACAGTTACTTCATCTCAACCTCCCCATGGGTGGCCATAGTTTGTAAAATCTTTCAGTCTTAGCCCATTCAAGCATCTCCATCTTTTGGTGGTTCATAAACGGAAATAGTTCCATTGTGCAACCATTCATTTTAACCCAGGCGGAGGAGGATTGCTCCAGAACCCTCTGACCCCAGGTCATTCCCAGGAAGACAACAGCATCTGGGCAAGGTTTACTATTCCACCAGATAAGTGTGTCAGGGTCTGCTCCATTGACATTAGATAAGTTACTAAATTCACCTGTTTTTGGCTGCATGGGGAGACTAATGTCTATGAGCACCACGAGTTCATGAGTAATCTCTATTCCTATGTTATATACCTATCCTATATACTCACTCTGCGACACACGGACGAGCTCTGTGACATTCCACACACCAGAGGTGACAAAGCAGTCCTGGAAAGTGAGATGTCCTGCACAAAAAGAAAACACAGAATTACACAAATGTCTAATCGTAAAAATGCATTCAAGTACCTTAACTATTAACAAAAATCTATCTTATTTATGTGTCATTCAGCTGTAGATCCTCCAATCATCTCTGAATTGGTGCTGACACTGTCCTTCCTTCTGGAGGGTGGCTACTTTTTTTCCCCGTGGTCCCTGTGTGTGTTGTAAAGTAGCCACCACTCTAAGCTTACTACCGTGATGGACTACAATCTCATGTTTAGTTTACTAATTTGTATTGAGATTATAATCTATCACAGTCTATGCAATGTTATTGAGCAACACAGCCCAACACTAGTGGTGTGAATGGGCCCTTAGGAGGTTATTCACTATTGAGCTGAAGGATACAGGCGTAGCTTCGGCTGATCCTCTGGCTCTCTTCAGCCGCCTGAGCCCCAGGGTTGCCACCTGTCCGGGTTTAGAAGGCTGTGTCCGGGTTGCACAGCCAACCCAAAAGGCCCAGCACAGGCCACTAAAGACCCTGTAGACATCAGGCCATGAACCTGGAGCAACACAGAGTATGTAGCTTCATATAATTTTGTATTGCTGTATTATCTATTGCTGGGATTTGTAGTCCTCTATAGCCGGTCTCCTTACTCTCTTCCCTGGCTGCCTCTCCTCGCTCTCTCCTATATTCGCCCCAAAAATAAAATAATTTCTGTGCGCGGCGCTAGAGTGTTTCACTTGAAGAAAAAGTGGCAACCCTACTAAGCCCTTCGGTTCAGTTGAACCGAAGGGCTGCTGTACGGCTATTCACAATAGCCTGTACAGCTCCCGAAGCTGGGCGAGCGGGTCAGCCCGGCCGAAGGCATATGCTTTGGCTCAACTGAGCCGAAGTGACAGCCGAAGCGGGGCAAACGGCCTGCCGAAGGCCGGTAGTTCTCCCCGCAAATGACAGCAGGGCGGACCCACTGTGATCTCACGGCTCGCTCCACCCAGTTGTAATGACAGATTAGCGTCCCCAAATGACCTGGGGATGCTGATCTGTCATTAAACAATAACAACTGGGTGGAGCCGGCCGTGACGTCCAGTTGTTATTCATTGGTCGAGACTTGATAGAAGACTCTAGCAGGTGTCGGCCAATAAGACACAGTTGAGCGGAACTAGCTGTCACTTCTAGCTCCGCCCAATTGTTTTTTTTTCTTTTTTAAAATATCTTTTTTTTTTTTTTTTTTTACTTGTTTTTTACATTTTTTAAAATATTTTTTTCTACTTTTTTTTTTTTTTTACTCTTTTCACTTATTTACTATTCTACTCTGTACCACGAGGTACCAAGCAGAATAGCTGAGCCGAATGCCAAGAAAAAAGGGGAGAACGGAAGCGAGTGAGCTACCGGAGCTTCGGCTCAGCTGATCCAGATGTTGGATCGGCTGAGTCGAAGTCCCTCTGCATTTCGGCTCAGCTGAACATGCAGAGCATCTTCGGCTGACCGAACAGAGCCGATGTATGTTCTCTGTATTTGTGTATTTGATCCTTTTTTTGTGCATTCGATTGTTATTTGTGTACTATCATAGTTACATAGTTACATAGTATTTGAGGTTGAATAAAGACATTAGTCCATCAAGTTCAACCTAACCTATCGCTTAATTTTTTTCTGTCAAAAAAATTTAAAGAATGAGGGGGCCATATTTGAGCACAACAACAGGTACGGGGTAGTTAAAAGGAGCTTCTGTAACCCTCAGGAGCCATATAAAGCCCATAGTGCTCTTTAAAAATACCAAACACCAACCTAATTTTACCTCTTCTATTGATTACAATGAATTTAATCAAAATGGTAAAATTTTCCAACATGTCCAAATTTTATAAAAAAGTTTTCAGGGAAATAAAAAAACAAAATTATACTCATTCCTTGTATACGTTTGTTACTCTCTTAATTCTCCCCAACAGGTGGCGCAGACAGCTATAAAAACCTTCCACTATCTATCCAAAACTAAAAAGGTCTTGACTGATTAAGGGCTTTGAGAAGTTTCGTTTGTACAGGAAAAGATTTTTGTGCGGTGCTCTCACTAAACAACTACCAGTACCCTTCAGATCCAAGGTGTTCCAAACTGCAGTTATTTTGCACAATTTTCTGTGTTAGATTTATATAAAACTTAAGCATGTGTGGAGAAAAACTACACTGCCAAATAGGAAAGGAGAAAAACACACAAGCAATCAATAGCTTAGCTTTTTGGAAACAGAAGATCAAAATGTGGAGAAAAAAAAACTGTGCACCTTTATTATAATGGGTTTCCCATCATTCGATAAACATTTCAACAGACACATGTGAAAGTTTTTAGACTTTTTTTTCTTCTAAAATATGCTTATTACATTTACACTCAAAAAATACAAATATAAAAAAATGACCCCCACTGTAAGAAACATTTCCATACTCTCCTCTAATTCTATATCGGGCCAAAAGGCATCCAAATCTGCACGCAATCGTTTTAGTTAAAACCGAACTACAGCCAACTTATAACTTACCCAACGGCCAAATGCATATATGCAGCATGGTGGTGGGCCTTATTCCTTGCTACTACATATACAGTACACTGCCTGTCCAAAAAAAAGTTACCACCTGGATTTAACTAAACAAATAGATCAGAGCCTTCCACTGTATAAGTGTTATGATCTGGGGTTGCTTCAGTTGGTCAGGTCTAGGTTCAGCAACCTTATGTCCCCAATAAAGGGGCATCAGGTTTTCAATCAATGGATTTATTCTTCCCTGATGGCAAATTGGGCATATTCGAAGATGACAATGCCAGGATTCATCGGGTTCAAGGAGCATGAGACATCATTGTCACACATGAATTGGCCACCACAGAATCCAGCACTTAACCCCATTGATAATCTTTGGGATGTGCTGGAGAAGACTTTACGCAGTGGTCCAACTCCCGGATCATCACTACAAGATCTTGATGAAAAAGTACTGCAACTCTGGATGGAAATAAATATTGTGACTTTGCATAAGCTTATCAAAATGACGTTATTAAATCTAAAGGCGGCCCTACAAAATATTAGAGTGTGTGACTTTTTTAGACAGGCAGTGTATACACGGCACTGTGTTGTGCTAGGAGCACACTCAATCCTGCACCTTCAGCACTGTGACTGTGCTGACAGCTACTGGTCACTTACCAACAATCGGGAGGCGGTAGGAAGTGCTCCTGATCACGTGATCACTGTAAAAGCCATTCACAGTGATCACATGATCAGGATCCCCAGGAATGCCTCTGCGCATTTCTTAAAGAGCCAGTGGGAAGCAAAACAAGTCAATATTACCTCCCCCTTGTTCAATGTTCATATGCAACCTGAAGCTTGTTTTTAAAAGTAAAGTTTCTAACATGCACTTATACTAACTTTAATCCATGTTTGTATTGAAAGGGCACACCCTTGTATGGCATCATTGAAAGAAACTGTTCAAAATACTGTCTGAATACTGTCTGATCTAATGGAAAAAAAGATGCCCGATCACTGTGTATGTGTCATTCTTATGTTACCTAAACCTTTTATTGTTATGGTCAGCATAGGGGAATGGCTAGAACATCTGTCAGGATTAAAACTGCTGATTGTGTACCTGTTGGTAAAACGTTCTCTCATTTCCTGTTCTGTCTGGCAGGAGTCACCTGGACAGGAAGTGAGACCCAACATAGGTTTTACCATACTCCAGAAAGATACAGCGCATCCTAATATCCTCCACTCCATTATTTCAAGTCATGTCTTTGATGTGATGTCTTTGAAGTAAACATGGACCCAGACGTGGAGAAACGATATTGCAGAGACCTAGATCTGAGCATTATGGGATAATGTAGGTTCTAACAGTGGTTCTAAACTTTCCTCACTGTAATAAACAAAGTATAATTTATCGTCTGTATACCCGCTATCCTTCACCCAATTAAATAGACAGAAAGTGAAGAGAAATCCCCCAAATGGACCAGTGATGGCGATCCAGACTGTGCCTTCACCAACTGGTCCCTTCATCTTGACATCATTAGTCTGCGTAGTCTTCTGTAGCCTGAGATGACCCCACCACTGGACAGCCAATAGGAAGTGTCTATGTTATGGGCACCCAAAGAAGGATCCTCCCACTCTGCTGTCCAAAGATAGAAAACAAAACCTTGCTCCATCAAAATCAACATATTCGCTAAAACCCGGCTTGTCACATGACCACGGATTTAGGTTATTACAACATTTAGCGAGTATGTTGATTTTGATGGAGCAAGGTTTTGTTTTTTTTAGAGCTGCAAGCAGACCTCTCTCTGACTTTCCTGACCTGCATGCTTGTTCTGGGTAAGTAACTTAAAATACTGAAGCCAGGAAACGAGCATGTCCAGAAGGAAGTCAGCAATGGCTGCTGTCTAGGTTTTGCTTCTTTAGATTTCATAGAAATGTTACCAGAATTCTAATAAACAAAGATATAACGTAACCATCCTGCACCAGTGTAACGTACATATGCGTCAGCACATTGGGGGGCTTTAACACCAGGTGTACGCATATATGCATCTAGCTGGTTTGCTGTTCTGTGCTGAGAGCATGCTCACTCGCGCGCTCCCACAACAGTGTCCGAGCTGTGGCTGACAGCTACCGGTCAACATTTACCATCGGGAGTCGGTGGGACAGGATCCTGATTGTGTGATGGCTCGCAATGTGGTCACAATGTAATAGCCCGCCTCCACCTTCAGTCGTTCAGAACCTCTTAAAGGGCCAGGGAGAGCCAATGCCAACGGGTTATAAATAAGGATAAAAGTTATGCCAAAGACTTCAGGAAAAATAAACTTAATATTTACAGTATATTGGTTTTGTGGTTAGCATTGGGGGTCCCGGTTGGGATTCCCATCTGCAAGGAGTTTGCATGTTCTCCTTGCCCTTGTGTGGGGTTCCTCCAGGTACTCCAGGTTCCTCCCACACTCCAAAGACATGCTGGGAGGTTGATTGGCTCCTGTCTAAATTTGGCCCCTGTGAGATGGGGACGTTAGATTGTAAGCTCCTTGAGGGCAGGGACTGATGTGAATGTTCACTATGTAAAGCGCTTTGTAAATTGTCGGCGCCATATAAATACCTGTAATAAATATATCATAGCGCCAAAATAATGATGGGGGCCAATAACATGATATCCACGATGCAGGTTTTTTCAAACTCATTCCGCTGACCTTAAAAGTTATAGTAATTACAACAACAAAAAATGCAGCATAACTTGTAAACACAGTTATTTTCATTGTAATTTCTAAATCTAGGTTAGAATTGTTCTAGAAGTCGAATTTTGCAAGAGTCAAACTAAGAATACTGGACTGAGGCAAAAGATTGCGATACCTTTCGCATTTATTTACATTTGCTTCCCTCCCTATACGGACTTACATCACTAAAGGAGCAAATGCAATAACTGGAAAACTTCAACCTTATTAAGGACCAGTGAGGGAAAGCACAGCACCTTGCAGCATTTTTTCCAGTTTTTTTTTTTACATTTATACCATACAGTCTTTTTACTATATA